GAACGAATGTAATTAGAGTCTATTTTACGGAAACCTGGGCCACCTTCAATGCTTCCACTGGAGAAAAATGACCACGGTACTTGGTTCTCGACCATGAGAAACTGCGCAGTTCTGTCGTTTGAAAACGCATTATTCGATTTCTTCCGGACTTACTGCTGTTAAGATTCCGCACGTCAGGCAACTTACTGACTACCTTATATGGAAAGTGCAGTAATTTTTATGTATGAGGTAACACCTAGATGATAGTTCTATTTTTAAAAAAACTGGCAAGTGCCTTGCGAAAAGCACGGAAAATTTCTTCGAGTTGAAACTCACAGTACCATTTCCCTTTCCGATGACAGGTGTCATCCACAAAAGAGCATACTATTTTGAGATTTCTGTTGTCTTCGAGCCTCTGCACGTTGGTTCAGCCGAAGTTTGAGGATTTCCTCTTGTCTAGCTAGCCTGAGATACAGGAAAGACGAAGGACCCGGATGGTGTAGTGGTGAAGTGCGCTGCTCCCCCGTAAGGACAACAGCGCGTGTTCGTTCCCCACTGCATACGTCTGTGGTCTGGAGTTTTGCAATTATCTCAGCATTTCATACGAGTTAAATTTCCTCTTGTGTTTGTCATGAATATCGTTGAATGCCGATGAACTCGACTTCGAATCTTTAGACAGTTGTTCTAGAGCGCCTCACATGTGTCAGAGCGAGTGGATGTTGCCTGAACAAGTCTGGTACCAATTTCGCGACCTTGGAGGGATAAGAGGCTTGCTGGCTCCGAAGCAGGGAGCAACCAACCCGTGGATAGGTTGGGCCGTCCGCGTAATGAAAGGCGTCACTATTGTTACGAAATCTGCTCTCTTGCTCAGCAATTATCTGTGAGGACTAACAATTGTTTATATTTAAAAAAAGTAAAATGAGCGCATGTTTTTGACGCTTTACTTTTTATCTCGTTTGCTTCTCAATTTATCCGTAAAAGCTCCTGTTTTACGAACAACTTTAATTGTAATGAGTAGTTTGCAATGATTCGATTTTATATCTTCGCTGTATTTATAAATATATTCTTTTTTCACCACGTATAGGTTTACCGCCCTATGGCTGCCGGGAAATGTAACCCCTAGTAGGTTCTCACAAGTTGGGAAGTAGTCCGATGTTCAAATCCGTAAACCCACTAAGGGTAAACCATTACTTGGATTCACTATCGCTCTTGTATCAAGCCAATCGCTTGGTAGCAAACCTTGCTCTAATATAGGACGACCGGCGACTGCATGTGGTGGTCCTGATGAAGGCATCGGCAAGGCTGACGTCGAGAATCCAGAGAACAACATTGGCAAACAGCAAAAGTCGAGCTTCACTGCCCCTCACACTCCCGTCAGCGACACTGCGGTGAGAGATCCGGCGAGAGGCGAGGAAATCTCGGATTTCAGGAAACGTCATTAGAAACAGACAAGACGATCACCCCACCAATATGCCATGGGAACTGCTTCTTGCTCTACATCTATAACTCCAGAACATTCTCTTCAGAGGCCAATCTTCAAATTCTTATTGAGGACGCTGGTCGCATCATTTCATGTGATCGCCCCACAACATTCGTGGAGAGGAATTCCCGTTATTAAGTGTCGGAGGCGCTGGCTTTATCGTACATCCACCTATTTCCCATGTTGTCACCTCATACGAAATCTCATCATCGTGTTTGCCTATCCTTCGTCTCCAACTTCCGCATCAAAGAAAGGCATTATCATCAACTGCTTTTAACCAGCTCGTAGAGTTCGTGAGTAAGCATTTGACCTATTCTGCAGCCATTTTGAGAAAGTAGCCCTTAATATGTCTTTTAATAAATTCATTGTTGGAGGATTCAATACAAAATTAGAAACGACTAAGGAATGCGAATATAGGACAGAAAATTTCTGAATCAGAGATCGACAATAAAAGGGTAAACCGCCTTATTGGACTCCTCCCTGCAAAAAGTGTCCTCCATGCAATTCATTTTCCGGGAAGAGAGACGATCGCCGATGGACTTAGGTGTTCTCTAACGCCATGACTCGTGCAGAAACCGGTTATATTTTCAAGAACAGGAAATAATTCCTCCTTTACAACTCAATGGCACCCTTTTCTATACTACATCTAATCACAGCCTTCTCCGTGGGAAAATTCGAATCACCCATGCGCTGGACTCCTGTCATCGTCCAAGGGAAACGAAACACTGATCCGATGTATCGACACGCTACCAGGATTCATTGTATAGACTAGATGTGCATTCAATTGCCGTCAAACGATGTTTGGTGAAGTCAAACGCATGATGCATCCCTAAAGTGTCGATCAACGCCCGCCGACAGCTTCATCCTTTTTTATCTGGCGCATTGTTGCGTCGAAAATATTGAACAAAGCTGTTGGTGAGCAGACATCATTTCGAAAACATAAAGCAGACTACCTTTACGTCTAAGGCCACGTATGTGGCTAAGCCTAACGATTGAACTGAAATCCACTTCTGCGCTGGAGAAATATGAAAAAGGGTGTGCAACTTTGCCTGATTGGAGACGTTAAGTGCTATTAGTCTAATATTAAGGTTACTTAACCGAGTAGCTAGTTAGAATCACTTCTTAGTAGCTGACTATCTCATCTCGAAATATAAAAATGTCGATATTGCGTTTTTGAAGCCGTGAACTTGTGTCTCAAAATAAAGCTTTGCGCTTTTGTGTTCATTTTATCCAGTTAATTTATTCACACTTCCCAACGTTTTATGCCTCATCGTGGCTGTGAGGTGTTCCTAGGTGTCGGATTACGATGTACAGCGAGGGATTCATCCACCCGGCAGGGTCTCCTAAGCTGAGAAAGAGTCCAGCGTTTCCAACAGGAGGCCTAGCTAGCAGTAAACCAGTACCAGGATCTACCACCATCTTGGTATCAGACTAGTCGCGTCGTCGCAAGTTTCTCTCTGATCAACGAATGCTGTAATTGCCTGTGGTAATGAAGACTTGGGGCAAATATTGGCCAGGCTGACCTTGAAATTTCAAGGAACCACAATGACTTAACCAGCAAATCTCCGAAAAATGGCGATTGTGCTGGAGCCCGCACAACCAGTGAGGACGGGCCGTTCAAGTATCAAGTATCCAGCATTATATCAAGTATTACTTCCTGCTATTGTTAAATCTCGTACGGCATCCAGTTTCCGAGTTTGCATTCCTCAAAGCAGATTTGTCAAATTACTGCTTTGTTGACTTGAAATTAAAACTTCTTACGTGTTTTGCAGCATTTAAAACCTGTTCATTAAGGAGGCCGTGGCCGATGGCGACGGTAGCGTCGTGGCTGATGTGTTAAAAATAGAGATAACGAAAAACACAACGTGATTTGGAATTTCCGAGTCGATCCACATCGATATTGATAGGACCATGTTCATTCAAACCTAACATGATAAAGGATAAAGCTCTCGGCATTGATCAATGGCGGTATGGTATGCTCGCTCAATCAGGGTATGCGCCATGCACTCGACGTCATTAAGTTGGAGGTGATTGAATGCATATCTGGCCTTTACAAGGACTCGCGGTGGCCTACCGATGGATCGAGCCAGTGCTGCTATCCTCCCAGGCAAGTCTGGTACCAATTTGCGATCCCAGAGTGATGGATTGCTAGGTGGGCCAGGGGCGCAGAGATCGATTCCACGTGTGTCGCAGTGGCGCCCTTAACATGATAAGAAAGAAATAAGGTAGCACTATTGGAACAGTTCATATTGCAGCGTCTTACTTGTTATCACTTTTATCAGTGATCTATCGGAAACATCAAAGGTGGAGACCCATCGCACACATATTCCTGCTGCCTCCCAGCGTGTAAATTCTCAGGCAAGTTATCAAGAAATCGACTGTCCAGCATCCCATGCACCACGGAGAACACTAATTTTGTTACGATCTGTAAGCCGAAGTGGTGATATTCGGGCCATCACTGCACTTTTTCTGACCACTATCCAACTCTGATTTCGTAATTAAACTTATTAAAACCAGAGGAAAAAGCCAAATTTCGTAATTGTTTGGTAAAAAAAATATAAAAAGAAAGGAAAAACTGCTAGAAAGGCGTTGGATGGATTCATTTAGTGATGGCACCTCACGGCAGTGCACGGTTGTTCAACAGGAAGACGATCATCCTCAATCTCTTCCTGCTCTATGGATTCGGTGCGATTACGAATTTTCCCTACATACTTTCTTTTAGACTTTGTCATAATATCCGATTTATTTTTCAATTAGTCTTTCCTTTTCACACTTTTTGCTTACCGTCAGAACAATGTACCAGCTTTCTACCCCGGAGAAATGAGAGGCTTGGTGAGCCCGCAGCAGGACCAAATCAGCACAGTGCACTTGGTGATTGGCATCACTGCCACTGTGCTACATGACCCCTTGAGTATTAATTGAACCTATTATATTATCATTTAGGAAAGTGCTCGAGAGAACTCGAGGGAGAATCTACCAATAAGAATTTCTTCCATGCTATGCTGAGACTAAGATTTAGAGTACTATTCCTACTTGCGTTGACAGCTTCCTTCTATGACAAAGCGCTTCATTCTATCAAAACAAGGGCCATACTGTTTGCGGCTTTCGGTAGAAGTTCAGAAAACCATCATCCAACTGTATCGCTGCAGCCAAAACCTCATGTTTGCGATAATGTTCCATTGCCACTGTTATCTTCTTATTACAATGATAAAACAACCAGTTTAATGCAGAAAACAATAAGCGCTAATGCGAAAATTTTTTTTCGTTTTACTTTAACGATGACGTCACTATCGGCCTAAAAAACGCTAAAGTTGAAACTGAACTTAGTAGAGCAAGAAAAAGGAATAGCATATAACCTGAAAAATCTGCGAAAGACAAATGCAGCGTACATGACGAGACAATCCAGATGAGTTCGCTATTTATGCATAGTTCTCACAAGGTAATGAATTCGTCCTAGAAGTGAAAGGATTTTCTCACCTGTCATATCCTGCGTCAGTTGATTCTGTGTAATACCGTATGTCGACAGCAGGTTTTATGGCACATGTATTTCGGTCATAAACGTCAGTATCTAATGATTTTAAAACTTCTCATCCAAGTGTTTTATTTCCTGCTTACGTTACCACTAATGGAAGGACTTTTTCCTTGGCATACTCCACATTGGACGAAATCAGCGAGCTTAAATGGACAACGCCTCCCAACGCTTTACCGCCTCATCGTGGCTGGGAGGTGTTCCTGGCTGCAGGATTGCGATGTACAGCGGGGGATTCATCCTCTGGCAGGGTCTCCCAGGCTGAGGAGTGCAGCGTTTCCATCAGGAAGCCTAGCTGGGAGTAAACCAATACCAGGATCCGCCACCGCCCTGGCATCAAAGTCGCATGGTGGCAAATCTCCCTCTGATCCACAGATTCTGCAACTGCTTGTGGTGGTAAAGACCAGGGGTAGACTTTGGCCAGGCTGACCTCGGCGCTCCAGGAAACCATAATGGCTTAACCAGCAAATTTCCGAAAAATGGAGATTATGCTGAGACCCGCACAATCAGTAAGGAAGGGCCATTCGAGTATCAAGTATCAAGTATCAAATGGACAATGAGGTGTGCGCCAACGATAGATCGATCGACAGCACCTAAGCAGACTCCTTCAATTTATCACTAACACACGTCATTTCGATCCGACAGCAGAAATTCTCTTTCACACCAAGAATTTTTTCTATGGCTTTTACCATTTAATGATTCAGCCGTTTTATTTTCACAGACGAACACCACTGTTTGCTCTTTCCGACAAACAAAGGGAAAAGTGGTTCTGATTGCACCTCTTCTCAACATCTTAAGACAATTGTGTACTATCTATGGATCACAGCCGAGTTATTAGGCCATTCCTGCGTTACTTGATGCTTTTTCCCTCTCATCAAAACCTTCCTATCGATTTTTGGCTTTCTGATCGTTCAATTCAAGGGTTTTCATGGAAACGCATACGGTTGAATGGACTCGTTTGGTGTTTTGCGTAAAACAGAAGAAAGTCTACAAATGTTGTCATAAACGAAATTTCGAGGGCGATAAGGAAATTCAGGATGAGAAAACTGTGCTGAATAAGCCAACCTTCTTCATATCCCCATACTCTAGCTTTTTTGTAATAATTTGGTTTATTGGAAATGAAAACCTCAATTTTTATTTCTTCTTTCAATTTTTGAAATTTTTAGCAGCGATAGGTGGTGAGGTGATCCCACAACTCATTGGAACTTTTCATCGAGGATTCTTTTGTGACGATGCATCGATTCGCTGCCCATACAAAGCAGATACAATTACTAACACAAATCTTTTTCTTTACGCGATTTTCGTGATAATATTGACAGTGAGTTTCCGCTTTTCATTCAGTCACTGCATTAATAGAAACTGAATGTGCATTACTTTCTTATCCCAATGGTTTTCATTACACATTAACGGCTAAGCATCTTACCAGGTTCGAAAAGTGTTCGTGGGTGTCAAATTATAATGAACGAGTTTAAATTACTCGATGCAGTCTCTCGAAGTTTTAATCCGGAAGTACAAGAAAGAGCAAAGCAATGCCACTGCGAAGCCTGGGATCTAAGAGCAAAGCTATGCAGCAACAGAGTGTGGAATAAACTGACAGAAGTTACCGCCGAATGTGGGAAACTACTGCATTAATGGGACCAACCTTCTTCTTATATCCACTGTGCTTACTGAACATTAATACGATTCAGAAGCGGTCCATCTAAACTAATTCCTCCTTGACAAAATAGAGAATCCTAAGCGAAGTTTCTATCGGTTCGCTGCCCAGACATGCTATCGTATTGAACAAAAAAAAAACAAGGTGCTTCGATTTGAGAGGATCAAGTCTGAACGTCTTAAGAATGAATTACTAGCAGTGGCCACATACTGACTCTTCGATTTATGCAATACTAAGTATGATGGAAAAAGTTCATTGCTGGGAATCGGTGTCAGTCGTCCTTGACGCTATTGATATCAGTGTTCCTCTCTGTGCACTATTCATTTTCTATAAGACATCGTTCATCCACTTATCAGCGACGCTGGGAGTCCATATCAAATAAGTGGAACTCATAAGAAGCAGAATTTCCGGAAGGATTTAGCAAAGATGGATGATATCAACGTTTTGAATCATCACACCAAACGATAAAAAGTACAATGAATTCTCGTGGGCCAACACTCTCCGAACTTTATGAAGAAGGTAAGGACGTCGAAAATTCGCTCCTTCAGTCCAACGGATCATTCCACATAACGGATCATAATGTGCCTCCGGTATTTCGAAATCACAGAAACAGAAAAAATGTGAGAGTGAAAAGAAAGTGTTGCTCATTGCGCCCTTTATAGAGTGACACTTCAACCTAGTTCATCTTTTCCGTTCTTTCTCATGAATAACTCCAGAGAACAGTGAACGATCAGCGACCTAACACATCGTTCGTCGATGAGTGTTTGTTTTCCGCTCGACTGCTACGCGGGACGTTTAGCAGCCACAGCTCGAGTGGGAAACCTATGTAACCAACCTTTCCGTAACTATATTGATAAACAATAAAAACGGAACGAGATCAGTATATTACGCACTAATTATGTAGATAATAACGTTATCAATAGACAAAAGTAACATAAATGAGGAGCTGCATTAACGATAAGAGGCGGTGTTCTCCAACAGACTGATAAAAGATTGTGAGGAACAAACGATGGATCTCACAAATAAAGCAGAAATTATAGTAGGACACTAGCGAGCAGGATGCTGTAAGAAATGTTGCTCGTGGGTCAAAGCAATAATTATAAGGATGCTGAAATTAGACCAAAACTCGCAAGATCGATTAGGCTTCGAGCGCTATCCACAATACCAACCGATGCCTTTGCTCTGCCTCTCTTTCAATCATATTTTTACTCTATCGTGTTGCCAGGAATCACCTATAAACTGGAACGATTTGGGCAGCAGAAATAGACATTAAACCCAGTTAATGTGAAGGTGCGGCTGTGGGAAGCACAACTTTGTAAAGCTATTTAGCAATCACTATATCGCACTCATGATTTGGATGGAGGCGAAGACAAGTTACGAGAGGGATATGACAGATCATCTTCGCATGCCAATACAGATATAGACAACTGCTGCTTCAGAGCGGCCAGGGGTAAGCGACAGCGCACGACCGAGACGACACAAACAGTACCATTAGGACGATATATTATCGAGACAATAATATGAAAAAACAACAAGCGAAACGAGGGACCCGCATGGTGTTGTGGTGAAGGCGTTAGTCCCCGGAAAGGACAGTAGCGTGTTCGCTCTCCTCCGCAGACACCTGCGGTCCGGTGTTTTTCAAATATCTCAGCAATCTTGTGGTTGTGTTTGGCTTAAAACCCTGTTATAAAAATTATAGAAGGCAGAAAACAGAAATTAAACTAATTTCCAAGGTCTGAATAGGTCATGAAATTCAGCACGACAAACTGAACTAGCGACTAGATCTACCGCAATCTGAAGCAATCCTATGCAAACCTTATGTTGAAACTATGACGGTGTGACTTCATTTAGATCACAGTGGATGTGAATCATCACGGTATTCAAAGCCTGTCAATGCCCAAGTTTTCAGTTCTAAACGATTAACAGGTGATTGCGACAGAGTGGTATTTTGACGATGCTTTCAACTCCGACAATTCCATGTGGCAGCTCAAAGTTGGAAAGATTACAGTACCTCCGTTCATCGTGACGTCGATTATGTATATAGGTACTCCCTTTCAATTTTCAATCATCATAACCATGCATTCCTTCTTAAAAGAGCGTCTAGTGATAATTGGAAAACTTGTTGAAAACATATTCCGGACAATCAATTTTTATTGAGGATTTTGATGCCAATTTTTCACGACATGATCCAGCAAATTTCTAACGACATTTCAAAGTTCTTAACAGCTTATACTTTTCCGTTACCGCCTTAGATTGTCATCATGAGTTTAACAGAGAAATCCTTCGGATCAATAATTATAGGATACGCTCAAATCGGTGCTGCATGCTTGTATGTCGTTATAAACCTCACGAAAAGCACTGTCGGACGTTTACGACCTCACTTTCTTGATGTTTGCAAACCGAAAGATTTGATCTGTCGTGAGAATGAGTGCGTTTTTTCTGATTACTTATTAACGATAAGCGACAAAGGATAAAAATGGCTGAAGCCCTTGGTGTTGAGCAGTTGCATAGATACGTCCCATGCATTTGGATTCCGTAGAAATGGTAGAGGTGATTAAACAACCACTTGGCCTATAAAATTGACCAGTGATTTGTCGTGCCTACCGGTACCACGGATCTTCCCCGTATGAGGCATCTCGAACCGGTAGGTTGGGAGGCTACGTGGCACGTCTCCAGGTGGCGGATAGAGGGTTAATCGCTGACCAAAAACGACCTTTGCCACCCTGAGACGCAGGTGGTTCCTGGGGATAGACTCCCTGTCTCTGCTGCGCCGATTTGGCACATACTTTCTGCATTTGCTAGGCGTATACATGCATGCGTGTGTGGGTGCGCTCTTGCTTATGCGGATTATATTCTTCGAGTCAATTCGGCCAAAAACCTGCAATCAAATGACAGGGAAGCATATGAGAGGCGGTTAGGAGTCCCCTCCAACAAATAAGCTCCATGTCCACTCTGAGAGAGCCTGGCATGCTACCCGTGAGTATACCCAGCCTCCACGTCCAGGTATCAGCAAGCAATACGTAGGTATCAAAAAAGCTAAACCCAGAAAAAGAAATGGGTGTAATTCCCCAGACTCCGGAAGAGCTCCCAATTCGACAGCGTTGGATAGGCCGACTACGGAAAACCAGCTAAAATCGTACTGCCATTCAAGGCTGCCAAGGTTGCCGGGTACAAAGGTGACGAACTGTACCTACAATGCACTCACACCTGCATCCGAGTCCTCGATCAGTCCTAGACCTGATCATGCAAGCACGAAAAACAAGGTACGACGCCATCACTCTAGCCATGAGGATACGACGCCACCCTTTCAACGCCGTCCATGACACCGGAAAAGAACTGCTCCTCGGAACATGCGACAATAGAGGATGGACGGCGTCGGCCTTCTCGTCTACAGGAGTTTGTCCATGAAAATCGATTCATTCATTCAAACAACTTACATTCCGAACCGGACGTTTACGATTAAAAAGAAGTGGATCAACTCTGGCTTTGACAATCTTCGTCGTTTTCGCCACGACATCAAAATATGACGAAGAAGAAGTCGAAGCGTTCTATATGGACTTGGAGTTCTACAGAGAAGACCTTATATTCTTCAAGGTTATCATTGGAGATTTCAACACCAAGATTGGACCAAGGAGAACGTCTGAAAAACGTCACATTGGGACCCCTGGATTAGAATGGAACGAAGAGGGTGAGTGGCCGTCTGGGTTTATCGTGACGACCAAAACAATCCATAGTAACTCGCAATTCCAGAAACCCCACCCTCAGTGCTGGACGTGGAAGTCTCCCAATGGAGAGTACCGTAACGAAATAAATTACATCATAGTAAACCGAAGATTTTGTCTAACCGATGCCGCTCTTGACCCGAATTTTGCACGGAATCAGAACATCGCCTATTTCGTGCAAGATTTTATTTCTCACGGAGAAGAAAAAAGGCTACTAAATTCAATATACGAAGTCCCAAAATCACTATAAAGTGGGACTTATTAAATTCATTAATCGGCAGTTGAGAAGACTCCGTTGTCGACAGTATCGGCGAAGAATACGATCAGTTTATTCAACATCTTCACGTTAGCGCTATGAAATCTGAGAGTTCGAAAGTCATCAGGAGACGTCTGCCTCCAGAGACACTCGAGATGATAAGCCAGCATGGAATCGCACGAGCTGCTGGCAACCGTCAAAGAACGTCAGAACTTGCAAAACAATGCAGAGACGCGATGAAAGAAGATCTCAAATAGGGAAGAGCAGCAGTTATTGTCGAAGCTGCAGATGCAGGGAAAAACATTCGCAAAGCCCACCGAAGTTTCGCCAATTACAAGACCGAGATGATTGTACACCGGCGCCCAGGCGGAACAGGAACACCATCCAGCAAGTCAATAGAGAGAATCATTTATGAATAGTACCCACATCTTTTCGATAGCCGCGTCCACTTTCCGTCATATGAACTAAAGGAGGATGGATATGTTGTACCACCTGTTCTCCCTTCCGAAATCCGGCATGCTCTTTCGTCGGTGAAAAATCGAACAGCACCAGGTTCGGATAGGATAAGATCAGATCACCTGAAGAACCTTTTGCCAGTTCTGGTAAACACACTGGCCCAGCTCTTCACACGTTATCCACCTGAATGCAAGGCTCCTGCTCAGTGGAACACCAGAAAGACCGTGCTGCTGTCCAAGTACAACGGCCTCGACATTGTCGACAACTATCGGCCAACCAGCTTACTGCCTATAGTCTTCAAACTTTCCACTTGAGTCATCCTAAACAAGATTGACGGAACACTGGACGAGGGATATCTATGTGAGAAAGGGTTTCGAAAAGGATTTAATACGAGTACCACATCCACGCGATAACAAGACTACTTGACGTATCGGGAGAGTACAAAAGACCGCTCTGTTTCATTTTCATCGATTTGAAGAAGACCCTTGACTCAAGTGAGATAGAAGCAGTCATGAAAGACATTGATAGTCAGGGAGTCCGTACTCAGTATATAAAGATTCTTCGTTAGCTTTACAAAAACTTCACAACCAAGATATCACTATTCTACAACGATACTAACATCGGCGTCAAAAGAATGGTTAGCAAAGGGATACCATCTCGCCAAAATTATTCACCGCCACCCCCCGAGAACGTCATGCGTACACTTAAATGGGACAAATGGAGGTGGAAGCCGATGGTCGTCAATTGCACCATCTTTGCTTTGCTGATGTCGCCGCCATTATAACACTAAGCATTAACCAAGTGGAACGTATGGCTGCCGACTTTGATAAACCTTGTGGAAAGATTAGTCTTGGACTAAATCTCACAAAACCGATGTTCATGAGTAACAGAATGATTTCGTATGCCCCGTTCACGCTCATCGGAACGAATATCTCCGAATGCTCCAGTTACGTCTATCTAGGTTGGGAAATCAACATAATGGACGACTTAGCTCCAGACTTGAGCAGAAAGAAACGAGTGGCTTGGAAAGCTTTCAAGAGCATCGATGATGTAGTGAAGAGAACAAAGAAAACCCAACTCCGTGCCCACCTTTTCGACTCAACAGTACTTCCTGCCTTAACGTATGCGTTAGAAACCTGGACGCTTCTGAAACAGGATGAAGGATCACTCGGCGTTATTGAACGCGCAGTCGAAGGGACGATGCTAAGAGTAATCCCGTTTCACACAGGTAGGGAAAGGCATTCGAAGCTCCGACCTGCGTCAACGATCAAAAATCAAAGAAACCGTTCTTTTCGCCAAACAGTAGAATATAAAGGATCCGGACACGTAATGCGTATGAACGACAACCAATGGACAAGAGCCGTTAGCGACTGGATTGCTCGGGATGTCAAACGCACTGCAGAAAGACCAGCGACCGGATGGTAAGAGTGTACTTATCAACAATAGCTTGTGCAGATTTGCTTAAAATGGTTGAGAGTTGCAATTTTTGAGGTTTCGTTCCCGCATGTAGACGCGATTATTTGAATTTGGTTGCATAGAAAAGTGTTATAGATACATTACAAACTACGTGTGCACTGGAGATGCAGATTTAGTGTTGGAAGCAAGAAAATCGTTCTTCAGTGGACACTCAGCGATTTCAATGTATTCATCCACATTTGCCGCAGTAAGCCTTCTCGCTGTTTCTTTTTTGTGTGTAGAACTTATTCATTACAGACGTTTGAGGCGCAGTGCTTAGAGGATCCTTCCGCTCGTAGTAGTTGGTTCAATCCCGAACCTTGAACTCACTAATCGTTATATCCCTGCAGGGCTACCAAATTGCTAACTGACGTGTCTGAGAAGATAAAACACGGACTTGACATATCAGTAGCCCACCGTAATTCATTGTGCAGTCCAGATACGTGTTCAATCACTTCTACCTTGTTTAATAGACTCGAATCCAACTCCCATGGACTGATTAACACTGAACGGTTTTAACTCTTTTATTTACTGCCTTTTTCTTCTTAATGACAGGGTATGTTGTAAAATATAACTCGTATGAAGTGCTGAGATATTTGCAAAACTCCGGACCACAGGTGTATGCAGTGGGGAACGAACACGCGCTGTTGTCCTTACCGGGGAGCAGCGCACTTCACCACTACACCATCCGGGACAACAGTGCGTGTTCGTTCCCCACTACATACACCTGTGGTCCGGAGTTTTGCAAATATCTCAGCACTTCATACGAGTTATATTTCACAACTGAACGGTTTTTTCTCACTCAGTGATGCCCTTTTATACACGATGCTGATGGTGGATATATAATGACAATGTCCGGTGGTAACAACTTGTATTTCTTCCGGACATACATCATTGCGCACATCGTGCAGAGGTCGGTGTATTATCAGCTAGCACAAAGCGTAGTAATATTTCGAAACCGACCTTCCCTAAACCTCGGTGTGACTAATCAATATGTTCGAAATTCGAGACGCCTTATTCGAGACGATGGCTCACTGAGGAAGATCTGGCTCGACACGAAGGCGAAGACGCAACGTCGAGGCGAACAACAAGCATGGACCATCGACTTGGATCACCGGCTCTGAGGAAGACGAAGACGTCGAAACGTTAGCCGAAAATAAATATATTTATCAACCTCGTGCAAGCTTATCAAGAAAGAATACATATTGCTTTTTCCTTTGTTGTCATGACGGGGTTTGGTTACAGTTTCACCTCTCGACGAAATCTCATATGTCCCTTCTCAATTTCACTGCCTGAGCAGAATTATGCTGGACGTAAGAGGATTAGTCGAGACGTCTCTACGAAGAAACCGCAAAGTTCGAAAATTAATGCACGATTTGTGAAATAAATTCCGTTGTTTGCATTTAACGACTTTCCTTTAACCTATGCGCCATTGTACATATATATATATATATATATATATACATATATATTTATATCCATACAAACTGCCACGTACCTTCCTCATGTGAGGGATCTCGAGCCGGTTAGTCGCGAAGTTACGTGGCGCCTCCCCAGGTGGCGGATAGGAGGTTAATCACGGAGCAAAAGCGACCTTTGCTTCCCTGAGACGCAGGTGGATCCAGGGTATGGTTTTCCTGTCTCTGCTGTGCTGATTTGGCACACAATTTCTGTACTTGCTAGACGTATTCATGCATGCGTGTGTGGGTGCGTTCTTGCTCATGCGGATTGTATTCTACGAGTCAATTCGGTCAATAGCCTACAATCAAGTGACAGGGAGGAATATGGGGGCGGTTAGGAGTCCTATCCAACAAACACACCTCATGTTCACTCTAGGAGAGCCTGGCATGCTACCCGCGAGTATACCCTATCCCAACGTTCAAAGTCCAGCAAGCTATACGTGGGTATCAAAAAGCTAAAAGCAGAATAAAACGGGCCTCCTTCCCCTAACCCTGAAAGAGCGTTTTTCGCAGCGTTGCCTTGGAGGAATATGGAGAGACTGTTAAAATCTCATGGCCAATGGAAGCAGCCAGGATCACGAAGAACTAAGGCGATGATCTGTACCTACGATGCACGGAGACTAGCATCCCACTCCTCGATAGAAGACTTACTCATGCAAGCAAGAAGGTTAAGGTACGACGTCATCGGCACGGCGAGACGAGAAGACGCTAGCCTTTCAACGCCGCCTATAACACCGGAGAAGAAATTTTCCACGGAACATGCGACAGTAGAGGAGTCGGCGGAGTCGGCGTTCTCATCAACACGAGTTTGTCCATGAACAATGATTCATTCGAACAACTTGCAACCCGAATCAGACGTTTACGATTAAGAAGACGTGGATAAATTCCGGCTTTGACAATCTTCGTCGTTTACGCCATGACATCAAACTATGACGAAGAAGAAGTCGAAGTCTATATGGACTTGGAGAAGTTCTACAGAGAAAACCACAAATTCTTCAAGGTCATCATTGGAGACTTCAACGCCAAGATTGGACCCAGAAAAACGTCTGAAGAACGTCACATTGGGACCAACGGATTATAATGAACCAGGTGAGCGCCCATCCGAGTTTATCATGGCGACCAGCACAATCCATGGTAACTCGCAATGCCAGAGGCCCACCCCCAGCAGTCTCCCAATAGAGAGTACCATAACGAAATAGAGCACATCATAGTAAATAGAAGGTTTTGCCTAACCGATGTCGTTGTTGTACAAAAATTCTACACGGGTACACGGGATCAGATCATCGTCTCTTTAGTGCAAGATTATATTTCTCGAGAAAAGGAGAAAAAACCGCTAAATTCAAAAACCGAAGTCCTAGAACAACCGTAAATTGGGATTTATTCGATTTATTAGTCGGCTGTTGGGAAGATGCCGTTGTCGATAACATCGGCGAAGAGTGCGATTGGGTCATTCAACATCCTCACGTTAGCGCTATGAAAGCCGAGAGTTCGAAAGTTACCAAGAGATGTCTGCCTCCAGAACACACGAGCTGATACGCCAGCGTGGAATTCCACGAGTTGCAGGCAACTGCGAACTGACGTCCCAATTTGCAAAACAATGCAGAGAGGCGATAAAAGAAAATCTCAAATAGGAAGGAGCAGCAGTTATTGTCGAAGCTCCAAATTCAGGGAAAACCATTCGCAAAGCCCACCGAAGCTTCGCCAATTACAGGACCGAGATGATTGTACACCGGCGCCCAGGCGGAACAGTTACACCATCCAGCAAGTCAATAGAGAAAATCATTCATGAATACTACTCAGATCTCCTCGATAGCCACGTCCACCTTCCGTCATATGAACTAAAGGAGGATGGATATGTTGTGCCACCTGATCTCCCTTCCGAAATCCAACATGCCATTTCGTCGGTGAAAAATCGAACACCACCAGGTCCGGAGAGGAAAAGACCGGACCACCTGAAGAACCTTCCGCCAGTCCTCGTAAACACACTGGCTCGACTCTTCACACTTTACCTGTCTGAATGGAAGGTCCCTAGTCAGTGGAAGATCAGCAAGACCGTGTTGTTGTTCAAGAAGGGTGAGCTGCACGATATTGGCAACTATCGCTCAATCTGCTTGCTGTCTGTCGTCTGCAACGTTTTCACTCGAGTCATCCTAAGCACGGTTGACAGAACACTAGAGGAAGGACAGCCATGAGAGCTAGCAGAGTTTCGAAAACGATTGAGTACGATGAACCACATCCACACGGTAACAAGACTCAGCGAAGTATCGCGAGAGTAAAAAGACCGTTCTGTCTCACTTTCATCGATTTACTGAAAGCCTTTGATTCAGTTGAGATAGAAGCAGTCTTCGAAGTCCTTGATACTCAAGGAGTCGTTACTCAGTACATGAAGTTTCTTCGTAAACTGTACAAGAATTTCGCAAGCAATATATCACCATTCTACAACGATATTAACATTCACGTCAAAAGAGGAGTTAGGCAAGGCGATACCATCTCGCCAAAATTATTTACCGCCACACTCCAGAACGTCATGCGAACATTTGAATGGGATACTATGGGAGTGAAAATCGACAGTGGACAGTTACACCATCTTCGCTTTGCTAATGACATCATCTTTATAACACCAAACATTAACTAAGCCGCACGAATACTGGTCGACTTTGATAAAAATTGTGGAAAGGTTGGTCTTCTACTAAATCTCGCAAAAACGATGTTCGTGAAAAACGGATTGGTTTCGTATGCCTCATTAATGCTCAACGGAACGAGTATCGGTCTGGAAACTAACGTGCTGACCGACTTAGCTCCAGAGCTGAGCAGAAGAAAACGAGTGGCTTGAGGAGCTTTCAAGAGCATCGAGGATGTAGTGAAGATAACAAAGAACACCGGACTCCGTTCCTGCCTTTGCGACTTCACGGTGCTTGCTGCCCTAACGTATGCTTCGGAAACCTGTTCGCTGCTAAGCAGGATGAAAGATCACTCAGCGTTATTGAACGCGCATTCGAAAGGACGACGTTAGGAGTATACCGCTTCCCACAATTAAGGGATGGGATCCGAGGCTCCGACCTACGTCGACGATCAAAAATCAACGATGCCGTTCTCTACGCCAAACAGTCGAAGATAATGAAGGTGGGTCGGACACGTAATGCGTACGAATGGCAACCGATGGGCAAGAGCCGTTAGCGACTGGATTCCTCGCACAAATCGGGAATGGACTTAGTTAAGCTGAGGCTTTAGTTATAATCGAAATCTTAACCGTTTCATTTACTGCCTACTCTTTTTGATGGCAGGGTATATTACGAAATATACCTTTCACGAGATCTAGTTGAAGACCAATTTCTCCAAAAGCCTTGTGAAAATCAATCAGCATTTGTTCGGCCTGACTTAGGCTTGATCGTAAAAAAAGCAATCTCAACAGCAAACGAAGCTATTACACTATTATTTATTATCTTCATTATTACATGAACCGACCTCACACTTTGCCCACTATATGGATCCCATTGCTCTTTGCATTCGATTCGCTTCCTCGCGTCTACCTTGTGCAAACGTCTTTGAACTTTTTGTTAACTGTGGGTTTCGCTGCTTTTTGAGAATCTCTTTGTTTTGTCAAGGATATCGTTGAATGCTAATGAAGTGGATTCGCCTTAAAATCCTCAGATGTCCATCTCAGGACGTTCCCACCTGGGTCAGAAGGAGTGATGCTGTCTCGGACAAGTTTAGTACGAGTTCCCATCCCCGAACGGATAAAAGGGTTGATAGCTCTACATCAGAGCCGAGCCAACACCTGCGTGGGTTGACCATCCGTTCCTATCTTTGCACAACCCTCTTCCTTGCTCCAACAATATCTGTAACAACTAACACAGAATAATTCTTGTTTATTTAAGCTTTACATGTTATCTCGAATACCTCGCGGTTCATCTGTAAAAGTTTTTCTTCCTGTTCTTCAAACGATTTTGATTGCAATAGGTTGGTTGTTATAATTCGATTTTATACTTTCCCTTTATTCATTACTTTGTTTTTTTACGAAATCGTATTTTTACAGCTAAGTTATTTCCTTTTCAATAGGACTCATGATATCGTACAGTCGTATAAATGACAACAAGCATCACTGGAGTGATGTTGTGGTTGGCGTCATCGTCGGTGTTTTCTTCGCTTCATACACAGTGAGAAATAAGCTTCTGATAGCTTCAGCTGAATCACACTACAATCGTCTGTCTAGTGCCTTGTTGTGGCGGGGATGTTCAACAAACCTGAAGAGGAACTGCTACCATCTCGAAGACAGACGACAAACTACGTCATTGGCAATTCGGCTACACCTTCAAATCAACGTGGAACAATCCATTCCTACCCCGAAGAAATTTGAAGGAAAGCGAATAACTCTGCCTTACTCGAAAAGTTATGGGCTACACGTATAATAATAAGATTATTTACTATTCTGCCATTGGCCTAGATTATGTTGTTGAACTGGTTTCTCCCATAATTATCTCCAATGAGGTTCCTAACTTTACCCTTTTTTTCGACCATGGCGTTATATTTATGAGTAAAAGCTTGTTTCTTTGTATTCACTTTATCTTGTTAACTACCCTATTTCAACGAATCCACATCACACATATTGCGCATATCCTAGTACTTCTTTTAGTTATTTAATTTTATCGCAGTTGTTAGCGGAATATAGGCCTTCGAGTTAGTTTTCGACACCGAATAACCACTAGCTTTAAAAAGAATGCTCGACTTCGTGATATGACGCCACGCCGAACTTTTCGTAGTTGACACAGGACAACAGCTTTCGACGCTCAAACTTGGGATTAAATTTTTATATACATAAAGGCAGAAAACCAATACAACAGGAATAACGATGAAAGAAATACTGGCGTAAGAATAAGGCAATCAAGTCGAACGTAAGACTCCCCAAAAAGCACCTCCCAAGTCTCCAAAAAAGAGGTGGTGCTCGTCCGAGCGTGGCTACGTCCAAGCGAGGGTCAAGGCCCGGGCGAACAACAAGCATGGACCATCGACTCGAATCACCGGCTCTGAGGAAGACGAAGACATCGAAACGTTAGCCGAAAATAAATATATTTATCAACCTCGTGCAAGCTTATCAAGAAAGAATACATATTCCGGGGATAGTTGCTATAGATTTTCTCACACCAGCTATTCACGAAAGCTTTTGGATTTAAGTGTGAATTCGGCTTCCACTTGGGGATTTTGCCTTCCCTATGGATGGTATGTAGTGCAATTCGTGTAGGTGCTTTCTGGAACCTTGGAAGATCCATCGAGATGGAACTACCTCAAGCTCCACTACGAAACAGGCAGAACGAGATGCTCGCCCGGATGAAGAAGTGTGCGACGAAGCAACACTTTTGTGCTCTGTATTTGGAGGATCACCTTTCGACGAGAATAATTGGTGGCCAATAGTGATATGCAGTAATATTAGGTCTAATACAAAAATGGGCTCAGAACGAAGGTTCGGAAACCTTTTGAATGATTTACGTATTTGGGTTTCAAGAAACAAAAACAAATTATTTATGCCTATGATAGAACTCAAAATAGGGTTAATAATGGACCAAGAAAATCTAGGGTCACCGTACTTGGGGGCATGTCCATACCTGAGAGCGCCGGCTCACTATCAGAATTGGGCCAGAAATTTCACCACCACAACTTATTTATAAAGCAACCGTGCATAGGATCACATGAAGTTTGTCTGAACTTCAAAATTGGCTCCGCTGTCAAGCCAAAAAGAAAATATCGAGTAAAGGTGAAAGTCAAAAGATAGCGAGATTAACACCGTCTCCTGTTCCTCGAGCGTTCTTTAGATAGCGGCACCCTAACGTACAAATCGATTCAAAATTCCGCATGTCTTCGGACGCTGTTCTCAAAACCCTTATTCATTACCGCAGTAAAAAGTTTATCTCTATACTCACAGCCGTGCAAAAATTTGGTATGCGAGCCCATTGTCCTCTTATTACAATGATAAAACAAGCCGACTAGTACGAAGAAGTATAAGCGCTGAGGGGAAACTTTTCCTCTCCTTTTACTTTGACGACGACATCGTTATCGCCTCAAAAAATATCACTGAAATTGAGACTGAGATTAGTAAAGCAAGAAAAAGGAATTGCATACAGCCTGAAAATTTTGGGGAACACAAGTGTAAGGTACAAGACGGGACACGCCAGACGACTGCGCTATTGATCCACTGCTTTAACAAGGCAACGAAGTCGTTTTAGAAGTGAAAGCGCTTTGTACCAAACCATACCCTGTGTCAATAGATTCTGTGGAATATCGTATGTCGACGGCAGGTTTCATCGGACACGTATTTCGGTCACTAGCTCCAATATCCAATGATTTTAAAACCTTTCATCCAAATGTCTTAGTTCTTGGTTACGTTAGCGTTAATGGAGTGGCTTTTTTCCTGGCATATCCTACATTGGACGAGATCACATGTATCACTTTTATCACCTGTAGTCCCATTGTTCCTCGTCTAGTGACTCGAGCGGGCGCCAGTAAAACTTCCATTTTTCTCTGTCGAGTGCAAGGGTAGCACAGTGGGTCCTGCTCGCTCTAGGGAGTCGTTGAGCATCATATCTTTCTTCTAGGCTTTTCGTGAAGAAGTCTGACCATCAAGTCGGTGGTTTTTCTTTAGTGAGTTTAACATCCCGAGGAATCCAGTCGCTAACGGCACTTGTCCATTGGTTGTCGTTCTTACGCATTACGTGTCCGGGCTACCTTATCTTCGACTGTTTGGCGTACAGAATGGCATCAATGATTTTTTGATCGTTGACGCAGATGGGAGCTTCGGATCCTATCCCCTACTTGTGTGAAAAGGGATACTCCTAGCATCGTCCTTTAGACTGCGCGTTCGATAACGCTGAGTGATCTTTCACCCTGCTTACGCAGCGACCATGTTTCTCACGCATGCGCTAGCACAGAATGCACCGTCGAGTAGAAAAGTCGGGCACAGAGTCGGGTTTTCCTTGTTCTCCTCACTACATATCGATGCTCTTGAAAGCTCTCCAAGCCGTTCGTTTTTTTCTGCTCAACTCTGGAGCTAAGTCGTTCATCATATTGATTTCCCAACCGAGACCGACGTAAGTGGAGTACTCAGAGATATTCGTTTCCTTGAGCGTAAATGGGGCATGCGAAACTAATCCGTTCCTCATAAACATCTAAACACGGTCGAAGAGCAGTCTTTCCACAGGCTTTATCAAAGTCGGCAAGCATTCGTTCGGCTTGGATGATATTTGGTGTTATAATGCCGATGACATCAGCAAAGCAAAGATGGTGTAATTGCCGACCATCGACTTCCATCTCTATTTGTCCCATTTAAGTGTACGCATGACGTTCTCGTGGGTAGCGGTGAATAATTTTGGCGAGATGGTATCCCTTTGCCTAACAACTCTTTTGACGCCGATGTTAATATCATTGTAGAACAGTGATATCTTGGTTGCGAAGTTTTGGTGAAGCTAACGAAGAATCTTAATATATTGAGTACGGGCTCCCTGACTATTAAGAGCTTCCACGGCTGCTTCTATCTCATTTGAGTCAAGGGCCTTCTTCAAATCGATGAAAGTGAGGCAGAGCGGTCTTTCGTACTCTTGCGGTACTTGAGTGAGTCTCGTTATCGTGAGGATGGTCTGTCGTACTAAATCCTTTTCGAAACCCTGCTTCTTCACAAAGCAGTCCTTCGTCCAGTGTTCTGTCAATCCTGTTTAAGATGACTCGAGTGAAAAGTTTGTAGACGACATGCAGTAAGAAGATTGGGCGATAGCTGCCGATATCGTGTAAGTTACCCTTGTTGAACAATAACGAGGTCTTGCTGGTCTCCCACCGAGTAGGGACCTTGCATTCAGACAGCTAACGTGTGAAGATCCGAGCCCGTGTGCTTACGAGGACTGGCGGAAGGTTCTTTAGGTGTTCTGATCTTATCCTCTGCGGACCTGGTGCCCTTCGATTTTTCACCGACGAAATGGCATTTCGGATTTCGGAAGAGGAAACCGGTGGTACAAAATATCCATCCTTTTTTATTTCGTACAACGGGAGGTGGACGAGGCTGTCGAAGAGATCTGAGCAGTATTCGTGAATGATTTTCTCCATTGCCTTTCTGGATGCCGTAAGTGTCACGACTGGGCGCCGGAGAGCAATCATTGTGGTCTTGCAATTGGCGAAGCTTCGGTGGGCTTTGCGAATGCTTTTCCTAGCATCTGCAGCTTCGGCCATTACTGCTGTTCTTCTCTCTCTAAGATCTTCTTTTATCGCCTGTCTGCATTCTTTTGCAAGTTCGAACGTCAGTTCGTGTTCGCCTGCAACTCGTGCAATTCCAAGCTGGCGTACCAGCTCCAGTGTTTCTAATGACAAACATCTCTTGGTGACTTTCGAACTCTCAGCTTTCACAGCGCTAACGTGAAGATGTTGAATGAGCCGATCGTATCCTTCCTCGATGTTATCGACAACGGCATCTTTCCAACATCCGACTAATGAATTGAATAAATTCCAGTTTACGGTGGCTCTGGAACTTCGGCTTTGGAATTTAGCGGCTTTTTCTCCTTTCCGCGAGAAATAGAATCTTGCACGAAGGCGACTATGGTCTGATCTCGTATAGAATTCTGGGACAGCAGCGACATCGGCTAGGCAAAACCCTCTATTTACCATGATGGGGTCTATTTTATCTCTCATATGAGGGATCTCGAGCTAGTTAGTCGCGAGGCTACGTGGCGCGTCCCCACGTGGCGGATAGGGGGTTAATCGCGGAGCAAAAGCGACGTTTGCTTCCCTGAGACGCAGGTACATCCAGGGGATGGACTCCCTGTCTCTGCTGCGCCGATTTGGCGCATACTTTCTGTATTTGCTAGGCGTATTCATGCATACGTGTGTGGGTGGTTTCTTGCTCATGCGAATTATAGTCTACGAGTCAATTCGGCCAAAAACCTGCAATCAAACGACAGCGAAGTATATAGGAGGCGGTTAGGAGTCACTCCCACAAATAAGCTCCATGTCCACTTTGAGAGAGCCTCGCACGCTACCCATGAGTATACCCAGCTCCCACGTTGAGAGCCTTGCAAGCTATATGTTTGTATCAAAAATGATAAACACAGTAAAAAAAAGGGCGTTATTTCCCTGACCCCGAAAGAGCTCCCAATTTCGCAGCGTTGTGTAGGAAATGTACGGAGAGGCTGCTATAATCTCAGGGTCAATGGAAGCTGCCTGGATTTCAAAGAACAATGGTGACGATCTGTACCTACAATGCACGTGCACTTGAATCCGAGTCCTCGATAGATGACTTGTTCATGCAAGCGAAAAGAAGAAGATACGACTCCATCAGTCTGGCCGTGACGAGACGACGCCGTCTGTTACACCGGAGAAGAACTGTTCCTCCGAACATGCGACAGTAGAGAAGTCGGCGGCGTCGGCGTTCTCGTCA